TATATAATTAAATGTTTATTTTTTTATGCAGATTTTGTCTTCACAGCACAGTCTGAAGGAATACAGCTATCACCAGTGTCCCTTTTTTCAGTTCAGTTTTCCATCACTGATTACATCTTCTTTAAATCATGAAATTAAAGAACTTGAATCTTTTTTTTTATTCCCAGCTTGGAAAAGATATTTTGATTTTTTCAAAACCTGGAAGACATTAAAAAAAATACTGGACAAGAACCACTTTCTGATGTTGCAGAGGTTATTTTTATCTATGAATAGTTTTAGTTCATATTTTGACGCTGGAAACTTCAGACCACTAGATGTCAGCGCACTGTAAAAAAACGGATTAGGATTTATCTTGAGAAACCTCTTCATTAGTTTAGGCTATACAGAACGCCTGTTCTAGAATAAACTGAATGAAACGACCAGAATTAATTGACATGTTTTGCTTATAATTCAGATAACTACTTAAGCATGAGTTTAAACATGTCTTTCTTCAGAAGAATTAGGGAAATGCTTTAATGTTCTGCTGAGCTGGACTTGTAGCTTATAACTCCTGGTTTAAAATAAAACCAAAATAAAACAAAAACAAAGCAAAATAACAACCCCTAAAACCAAACTCCAAAATCCTCTAAACCCAAACCCCAGCCAACCAAAAAAACTCCCCAACAAAAAAGACATAATATCCAAAGGTGATTTTAGTACTACTGCTGGGATATGGACATTTTCACCCCCCCCTTACAGAATATTGGTCTCTGGATCTATCTTTTGGTTTGGGTTTTTTTTGTGTATGTGTCGGATGCTTAGAAAAACGATATCCAGTCTCATCATGCTTCAAATAATAAACTGTCCTCCATTTGTTTGTTTATTTCCACAAAGTCTCGATTTTTCTGTCATGTGGACTGATCTCATATACTTTCTGAGCCGGTTCAGGTAATCCCAGAGTGTCTCAGCAGACTTCAGTTATTACATACTCATCATCACGCTTTGTCTAAAGTCCAGAATACTAATCTCTCAATAAAGACCATTAAAGACCAGATTACTTAGAGTAATATCTCCTAGGTTTTGTGGATAACCTGCTTTTCATCTGCTTCCCCCCCAGTACTCCCAAGTGTAAGGTATTCTTCATGATTGCTCCTGCATGGTGAATGTTGACTGTCTGCCAAGCTTGTACCCAAACCAGGGGCTCTGTGGATCACAGAGGAATATGTGTAGCATTTGCATAATGCTTCCAGTGCTGCAGTGTGCTGCCCAACTTCTGCCTAACCCTTGTAGGCACTTAAGTCCTATGTGTTCTGGTTGGCATTTCTTGTAGTGCTGCATTTTCCACACAGCTAAGCAGCAGCTCAAGGGCCTTACTTAAACCAAAGCTCCAAAGTGTGATTTGGGGGAACCTACCCTTTGCCTCTAGTGGGCTTTAGATTAAACCCTACAACAACCACAAACTCATCAGTTCTTTTCCTGTTTTGTTTGCATGTACATCACTGTATTGCCAACATAAGAAGCTGCTAATTGGTTTACATACAAGACAGATTGTTGATGCTGACACATTACATCAAACATCCTGTGCATTCTCTTCAGTCCTGAAATTCCCACTTGGCAGCATAAAATTCTACTCTTATATCGTGGAAAAAACATCTGAAGTCTTTTTCCGTTGCACTTTGCAGTATTGCATTGGTGATGAAGACATATTTGGGATTCCTACAATTTAGTGGTGGGGAGCATGAAAGAGTGATACTTTTGTGTTCTAAATGAAAATTTGGGTTTCATCGTGTTCCTTTCATCTTCCCAGCCCTACTTGCTTTTCATTCTCTCCCCCTTCCTTCCATTTGTTGCAGTTCCAATAGGGTGGGTGGGTATTTTTGTTGGTGTCTGATGTGAACTTGTTGGTAATGAGGTATGATGGGTTTAGGTCTTGGTCTTGATGAGATTCCAGTTGAAGTCAATAACCTTAAAAAGAACAGTGTTTTTTATAAAAAAAATCATGGTGGCTCCTTAAAAAACCCCAGAGTAAATATTTATGCCAGTGAAGGGATCTAAAGTTTATTTTTGTGAGCCTAGTTTTTTTTATTATCTTGTAAAATTATGTATACATAACAGAGGAAATGTGATATTCATGTTTTTTTCTTTGCTTGTGATTACATGAATCTTTGTGTGTGTTTTATCTTCACTCATACTTTTCTGATTTCATAGTTTAGTGGTCTGTTTTTCTTGTGTTCCATGAAGTGTGGTAGTGTAGCCTGTAACTAAGTTTTAAGTCACTTGCTAGTTGGAAGTGTAATGCAGATTAAGGAAATACAAGCTGTTTGCTTTTATTTTGAGAAACAGCACTATTTGCTAACTTTTTCTTGACTTTATTTCAAAGCTTGGGAAGGATGAATGGGGGAGCTGTGTCTTCAGTCCTGGGAAGCCTTTAGCTGACTGCTACTCCTTTCTTTACTTGCTCAAAATCTTACATCTTGCATTATTCTCTCTGAAATTTACCACCTACCTGATCCCCCGTTCCCCTAAAGTAACAAGATCAGAAAAAGAAAAAAGTGCAAATTCTGAAGCCCTTTCTCAGAACAGAAACCTGATCCTATTGCAATGACCGTGGCTAAAAAAAAATTAATCAGATCAATCTAATGACTTCATTCCTCCATTAGACGTCACATCGCCTCTAGGAGTTTGGCTTAGTCAAAGGAATATAATTAGGAAATCTTAAGAGATAGGCTCCCACAGAGACAATCTGATCTTTAGGAAGAATCTCTTTGGAAATCTGGCTGAGGAATGAATGTGTGGGTGGCCAAGTATATTTGTACATAGTGAAAATGTGTGCTGTCTGTGCAAGTGCACCATTTTATGCCTTCATTTGTCAGTTTTTCTGCCTTTTACAGCACATCAAGGAAATTAATTGAAATTTCTCTCCTTTAAAACCAACAGGGGTAATTGCTAAGGAAAAAAATGAAAAAAACCAAAGCCATTTTGGTCAGAGAGGAGTCAGGGCAAGAGGAAAAGAAAGACATTATAGCTGCAGATAGTTCCTCTCTTGGATTAGAAAAAGTGAATAATTTCTGACCCGTACTCTTTAGTCCATGGGAGAATATTAGGGAGGAATACTGGACAATCAGACAATGAGCTTGATGTGCACATTTGAAATTTATGTATGTGTATATTATTATATTCCTTGCAAGCAACTGTTGCTGAGTGTATGTAAACAGAACATGGTGAAGTAATGGGATTTTAATTGTTTTCACAGGTCTGAAATCTTGTCATGGCTTCCTGCTTCAGTACTTTTCGTGGGCATTATTTATGCTGGCTCTAGGGCACTGTCTAGATTGGTAAGAAATGCACCAGTAGAAGTCAGTTCTTTATTGCCTCTACTGTATAAACAAAGAGCATTCCCTTCATACATGGTGTTTAATGCTGTTCCTGGGTTGAGGGGAAAGGAGGGAGGGGGGGTTTAAATAATACATACATTGTTAATGGTGCTAAAGCAGCAGCCCAATCCTACAAAGTGTAGAGCAGTATCAAAAAGCTTCTCTGTGACAGTCCAAAGCACTCAGCATCTCTCTGGAGTGCTCAGTGTTTTGCAGAACACA